CAATGTCATTTCAATTTCCCATAGAGTTCTCTAAACGAGGTAGGGCAGTTGCACAGCTTCATCTAGAAGCCCCCTTGTTTTTGAAGTGTCTGAGGAAAAAAAATCTGCATACTTTACAAGCATTTTTAATGTACAGAATCAGTATTTCTATAACCAACTTGCAGTATTTCTACCTGGATCTAAGGCTATTCTTTTTTTTTCTCACTTTCCTTGTTTTCCACTGTCAGCACTGCTTGGTTTTTGTTTGTTTTCACACTTTCATTTGCTTTTCAGGAGACTTTGATAAACATCAGCGAGAACGAGATGAACAAAAAGTGAGAGTACGGCACTACTGGAGACATCCTCAGTATAACTCACAGAACTACAACAATGACATTGCTTTGGTCCAATTGACTAGTGATGTGATTTTTACCCAGAATGTACTTCCCATCTGCCTTCCTCGTCCTAACCTAGCTACTTTGCTGATTGAAGAAGTAGCTCATGGAACAGTTAGTGGATGGGGTGCAACTCATGCTAAGGGTAAGTTAATTCGCTTTCTCATGAAAGTTAGGTTGCCCATTGTGAGCATGGAGACCTGTCGGCAGTCAACTAAGAAGCTCATTACGGACAACATGTTTTGTGCAGGCTATGATGCGGAAGGGCAGGACGCTTGCAAAGGAGATAGCGGTGGACCTTTTGCTGTATCTTATCACAATACTTGGTATCTCTTGGGGATTGTCAGCTGGGGAGAAGGTTGTGCTGAAGTCGGAAAATATGGAGCTTATACTCTAGTACCCAATTATATTTCATGGATAAAGGAAGTATTCGAAACTAATTCTGGAAGTTTTTTTGCATAGCCTGCACTGAAAACCAATCTGTATAAAATATATATATATGTGTGCATTTGGTAGTATTTAACAACTTGATTATTCAGATCACATTGCAGATTTGTTTCCTATAGCTGCTCTTAACTGAAGTAAGCAATTAAGCTGCCATTTTCTTTGTACAAAAACAGAATTGTTCTATAAATCTGTATCAGTATTCAATTCAGATTTAAGCATAAGCAACTGGATAGGTAGAAATACAGCTTCAGCGCCCCCTTTCCCAAAGTGATTTTTCAACCCTTGCAAAGGGCTTCAGAGATACTGTCAAAAATAGCCTCACAGTGTCCTACCACAAGTTGTGTCTTTCATATGTTTGAACAATGTATGGGTTAAAAAAAGGTGGGGCTTGCAGGGTGATTCTACAACTCTGCTTTCATCATTCTGATCCTCCCTTGAAATATTTCCCCCTCCTCCCTCTCCACAAAGGCCATGGGGTTGTGTGATCCTGCAGAGTGCAGTAGGCTATGATGGAAAACATTCAATTCGTGCTCATACGAACATGCATAATTTGATGACTGATCAGACTGACAAAATCATTGTCATGGATTCACAAAATATGTTTCAACTATAAAATAGCCAAAGATGAAAAAGCTGCAGCTGCACAACTTGCCATGTTTAGTTACTGTTACTCTTGAATAACTTTTTGTGTTGACCAAAAAAAACCCCAACCCCACAAAAGCATACAACTGCAGGTTTTTAATTGACTTGGTTAGTTGTCTCTCATTATTTTCAGAATGGTGGATACAGGAGCTGCTTCTGTCAATCCATTCCCTTCATCTAAATAGTGATCTAAGTCAATGATTGCAACAGTCCAAGGAGTAAAAAGGGATATAAAGCAACCAATGAAATTGAGTTAAACAACAAAACATTTAAAATATACAAATATGGTATGACTGCTTTTGAAAGTAAGAATTGCAGTGTTTAGATAAGCACACTATGCTATTTGAGGTCTCCATCTCCATCCCCAGATTGTGCTGGCAATTTTAGTGCCAGATCATGATCATTCAGGAGTACAGATTGGTGGACAGATTTGTTTGTAGAAGATGGAAAATAAATCTGTAAATATTCAGCAGTTTTTAAACACTTATATATAGCCTTGGGCAGTCTCCTAAAGATTATGCAAGGCATAGACTTCAGATTCCGAATGGTGTAATTTAATGCATCAGTTATCTGAATCCGAGACAGTGCCTCCCAGTGCTTCCAACTAGGAACATTTACAACAGGAATGCCAAATCTCTTTAAACCTCTCCCATAGAGGTCAAATGTAAATACATAAGGGGTGTTCCCCCCCCACAAAGCCCAAGGTTATACTTCTTCTCCACTTGTTCTCTGATGAATAGTATTTAGAGACATACTGAATGTGGAGGGAGTCTCAGGCACAGAACTGAATTATACTTGAATGATGTGCTGTGACTTGCATTCCATGAAGTGGGTAGGGCCAAGTGAAAGAAAATATTAAACAATTTGATTTTATTCCATTGATTAAATTTGAATAAAATATGCTTCACCTTATTACTTTTGAACCAGTATGCCTAAGGATATGCTTTTATGCCTCATAGTTGTAAGAATGTCAGTATTGCATTGTGCAGCTAGAGGTCAGAACAGTAGTGCCAACAGCAAACTACAAGGATTGCCAGAATGACAGGTGCTTGATAACATCACCAGCCCAAGCCAATCAAGTGTATGTATCTGAGCTACAAGAACAAGCTCCTCTTCCAACATGGAAAACAGATCTACAGAACATCATTTTTTATATGATTTAAGCAAACAGTGAGGGGAAAGATCTCAAGAAAGGAATGTTTCACATTCTTCAAGTCATCTTCCCAAATATAGCCAGGATTGGATCAGAATTAGTCATAGTCTAATGTAAGCAAAAATAAAGCTTTTGAGCATTATTACAGCTGAATAGACGAGACTTTATGAATGAAAACATATTTCATTTTAATTATTAAAATTGTGAACTAAGAGGATTACAAAAAGGAACAGGTTTCATTTTTAATCCTTAGAAGACATTTGTTTACATCCACTTCCTCTCTCTATACCACCCTTTTATTTCTTTTTTTTAATAATTTTATTTTTCGTTTTTCCAATTTACAAAACAATAATAATAAACATTTTTTAACAGTACTGTGTCATGTATCTCTTACAGTTATTTACATTTATTGCTATACATTTTTATTTCTCTGTTCTAACCAATTATACCACTTATCCCATACCTCATAAAATTCTATTTCTTTCTTGCCTTTCATTTCTAGCGTAAGCTTATACATCTCAGCACATTCTAATATCTTATGGATAATCATATCATTAGCTGGTATATTTTCAAGTTTCCAGCATTGAATATAGACAATACGTGCTGCTGTTACTATGTATACAATAATATATTGGAGTTGCTTCTTTATCTTTTGATTAATTATTCCTAATAAAATAATTCAGCTTTAAATTCAATTTGTTCTCCTGTTATCTCCTGTAGTCATCTCCTTATCTGTTCCCAGTATTTCCTTGCTTTAGGACATTGCCACCACATGTGATAAAATGTTCCATCCTTATATTTACACTTCCAATAGTCCAGTTTCCTTGTATACATCTTAGCCAATCTCGCCAGTGTTAGATGCCACCTATAAAGCATTTTGTACTGATTTTCTTTATATGCAGTTGATAATGTTAATTTACAGTTTTTGTTCCATACTTTTCCCCATTCTTTTAAATTTATATTTCGGCCTACGTTCCGTGCCCATGCTATCATCAAACCTTTCACTATTTCTTCTTCCATTTCTACCTCTAATAAATATTTATACGCTTTTGTTAAAAAAAATTCTTCTTTGCCTATCAATATTCTATCCAATTGTTGTGGTACCCCTTGAATTCCATATTCTTCCATATCTTTTCTATATCTCGACTGTGTCTGTAAATATGGCCATCAGTCTATAATTATTCCCTGTTCTTTTAGTTGTTCCTTTGATTTAAGATTCCCCTGGCTATCTAATAATTCTTTGTATCTTATCATCTTTTTTTTATGCAATGTATTCGGGTAAATTGTTGCCTCCTTTGGTGAGACCCAATTTGGTAATTTCATATAATGTTTCCTTTTGATCTTTTCCCATGTCCATATCAACGCTTCTCTTATTTGATGTCAGTAAAAGTATGCATATGTCTTGTTACGTTTATCCCATAGGAAGGCATGCCAGCCGGCCTAATAGATCGTATCCTTCAATCGTTAACACCCTTTTGTTGTCTAAATTTATCCAGTCCCTAATCCATAGTAGCCCCACTGCTTGATAATAAATTTCCCATTTTGGAAGTCCAAAGCCACCTCTGCTTCTACTATCTTGTAGTGTTTTAACGTTTATCCGTGCTTTCTTACCCAGCCAGATAAATTTTTTAATTATTTTATTTAGTTCTTCAAAAAATCTCTTCTCTAATTTTATAGGGACTGTCTGGAATAAATATAATAATTTTGGCAATATGTTCATTTTAATCACTGAAATCCTTCCTAATAATGATAACTGTAACTTTCCCCAAAGCTCTAAATCTTTTTTCATTTGTTGTATCATTTTTTTTGTAGTTATCATCTTTTATTGAGGAACACCTTACAGTAAGCCAAATTCCTAAATATTTAATCTTTTTTTCAATTTGCAATCCCAATTTTTTTTTAATTCTTTCTTTTGTTTTTCAGTTAAATTTTTTACTAACATTTTAGTCTTTTCTCTATTAATTTTCAGTCCTGCCACTGTCCCATATTTTTCTGTTTCATTCATTAAGGTGTTTCCTGTCTCTAGCGGCTCTTCTATGAAGAAACTAGATCATCCGCAAATGCCTGCGTCTTGTATTCTTCTTTACCTTTAGTCCTTTTATCTCTCCATTAAGTCTAATTTGGATTAGTAGCACTTCTAACGTCAAGATAAAAAGAAGAGGTGACATTGGATATCCCTGCCTTACTCTTTTATTTATTTCAAATTTCTCTGTATTATCCCCCATTAATTATCACTCTAACCTTTGGGTCGTATATATCGCCTTTATCGTTTTCTCAAACTTCCCTCCAAATCTCATATCTTTGATCTGTTGGAACAAAAACTGCCAATTAAGATTATCAAATGCTTTCTGAGCTTCCAAAAATATTAATGCCACCTGTTTTTCAGGATGTGCTTCATAGTACTCTAAGACATTTAACACCGTTCTCATATTGTTCCTGATTTGCCTTGTAGGTAGGAAACCATTTTGGTCCGAATGTATTATTTCATTTAATATTAATTTCAATCTTTCCGCAATTATAGTAGTAAAAATTTTGTAATCTGTATTCAGCAACGAGATTGGCCTGTAATTTTTTTATCTGTTTAGGGTCTGTACCTTCTTTTGGAATAAGAGATATATAAGCTTCTGTCCAAGAGTCTGGTAACTTAGCTTTCTCCAATACATCATTATACACTTCTAGTAATATCATTTCAAAATCCTCATACAAGCTCTTATATACCTCCCCTGGAAGTCCATCCGGCCCCGGAGTTTTGTTACTTTTTTGTTTTTGCACTGCTCTTAATTCCGTGGCTGTTATTTCCTTATTTAATATTTCCCTCTGCTCTTCTTTTAATTCCGGCAAACCATTAACTCTTAAATATTGTTTTATATTCTCCTCTCTCTACACCACCCTTTTATTTCTAAAAGCCTCATTTATCTCCCACATATTAGTCTAGCTGCTGCATAGTTTATTAATTTAAGAAAATATTCTACTGTAAATTAATATAATAGCCTTGCAATCTTTAAGGACATTTTAGCAAAGAGGAAAGATCCTTTAGGATTTTTACAACTGAACTGTAAGGCAGCATCTACAAAACTAAGGACAATGGCAAAATAAATCTGGATATATGCTAGAAAACCAAAAATTTTCAGTGAGGGCCTCCAGTTGCTTGAATAATTGAATAGCATGTTCCATCCAACAGGAATACAATTATAGATTGCTATCATTACTCCCTGAAGTG